AGCCCGTATGACCACTCACTCGTCGAACACTCAACGTAGAATCTAAGCGCGCGCCCCGCCCGCAGAACGCCGTCGTGACGGCCATGCATGTCGAGCTCTGCGCAGACATTGCACGACGTTCAGGAGCTGCACTGCCATCACTGTCGAGAACGTCTAAGTTCAGCTTTAAGTTCTGGCAAATCGGGAGTGCTCGGATTTTAGTGGCCGTCCCGACCCGTACTTTGTGACAACAACAGCTCATGCAAGTTGCTGCACATCATGCACTTCGCGCCCTCTATGCAGGTGGGCGCACATGGAGGTAGATCAAAGCCCGTCGCCGACAAAAGCCAGAGCCATCAATACATGCATAACGGACCAAGGACCCTACTCAACTCGAGCAGTCTCCTAACTCTAGGCATGATTCGCTGGTCTTGTGGTCATCTATGACTGGCCGTGTGAGGATGAAGCTTGCTGCGAGATTTTGAAGGTTGGGTAGTGCGTACAAGATCGCTCTCGCTTCATCTATAGCTTCGTCGTGCACGCCTTTTGGTGTGCACTCTGTGCGGGCACTTACCGAAACACACGATGCGCCGAAGCATTCCACGCTTGATTTACCTAGCTCGCAGGCAAAGCTACGGAAAGCGCATTCCGCCGTCGCCATCTAGGCTCTCTAGAGCTGCTGTGTGGTGTGATCGACGCCTGCTCCTTGGGTGACATAACTCGCATCTGAGCTGCAGGAGCACAATCGACGCAGCCAGCAACGGGCTCACACACAGACCATTGGATCTCACTGTCATCCTTCAGGCCTCGCATCCGCGCGCCAGGGCGCTGATGGACAATGGTCGGAGGTTGGCGTGACGATCAAGGCACCAGACTCCAGCGAAGCTCAGTGCCAAGTGCGAGAAGACCATGGGGAACCGGATACGAATCACTTCTGCATCCCGACGAATCAGGCCGTGCTGTGCGTTGAGCATGGCAGCTTCTAGCACCTCAATTTTTGAGGATCACTCATGAGGGTGACTCACAATGTCCCGACCACGCCGACGGTGGAGTATGTGAGTCGGCCATGGCTTTTGCTTCATACGAGAGACTTATCAACCCGTTCCCTACAGAGAGGACACATGCGTTTAAGTCGCTAGACTGTTCACCCTTGCAAATCTCGTCGCTGTAATTTTGGCATTTGGTCGTCTTTAATCACCCTCACGTTCGACCTGTTCTCGTGTGAGGACTTTTTGGAAGCCGAAGCCGTCCCTTCCGTGAGCATCGGCTGTTACGATCCCTAGGCATCCAGGATGGAGCTGAGTCACGAGGACCTCCGGCGCCTGATTAACCATATCTTCCTCCCACCAAAATTGCCCCAGCACGAAGATAATGGCAGTGATATCCCGTTCATTGAGGTCACCCTACAGTCCCTCTATTCACTCCGGGATCAGATCTTTCCAACACGGCGGGACTCGGCACTTGACACTGCGATTGCTCTGGTGGCGCAGATGAAGGCGGTGCACAGTCTGGCGGGCGGGAACCTCGATCAAGAGTGTCTCAAGAACTCCTTAGCCAACTTATCGGTGGGGCGGACATTGGCGATCAAAATATCGGCGCAGAATTCGGCAGTTCTGATCACGAGAAGCAAGGGTGCTCTCGTCTTCGAGATGTTCGAATTATCCCCGTCCAATGCAGCTGTGCTGGCAACGAGAGGGAGACTGCTGCGAAACTTTCCTGGTCTGTCTGTGACCCTCGATGTTGACATTCTCGACCGAGCCGACTGGCTTGACACGATGGCCAACACTTTGAGCACAATGTCCTCGCAGAAAGTGGCCGGTGTGCAGCCGAAATCGAAAAAGGCCGGCACTCAACACCAGGAGGAGCGCGACACCACGAAGCCAGGTGTCGTGTCTGAAATCCTCTTCGGCTTTCTCAGAGGCTCTGCGTCGGCCGCGGCAACCTCCGTCTCATCCGTGTGGAAACGCACAAGGGACGACGTTCTCTGGAATCAGGCCTGGGCTCCCTGGCGTCGCTCGCCGATGTGGTTGCTCATCCGAGTGGCGCTGCAGCTGGTGCTTTCGCGATCTGAAAACCATATCCTGTACAAAGAAATCATGGTTTACACAATGGGATATGTCTTAAAAGCAGCACGCGCAAGTCAAGCCCACTTCGACTCTGATATCATCTTCACGATGACAGTAAAGCTTTCCCGGCGTCTCCAGAAGCTCTCCGCTGTTGGCCACGGACTGCCTGACGTGATACGGAACACCGTGCAGCGCGTCGTCCGCGACTCTGTCGACATGTTGTCGCGTCGCTGGACCGCGATACAAAAACACAATGGGCGACACGTGGACCTTATCACACTGGAGGGCCTGAACTTTCAGCGAGACACCTGGGTCTATCTGCCCGCGCTCGACGCTCATCTCGCTAGTATACAGAATCGGAAGTACGAAGGCGTTGTCACGCCCTATCTCCCCTCCTCTCAACTTGTCAAGCGAAGCCCGGACGCTCTGCCGTCTCTTCCTTCCAGCTTCTGGGAAGATGAGTACGACGCCGTCGCAAATTTGCACTCCTTTGAGCGGTGGATCACAGCGCACCTGGATGCCTGGATGGCGACACAGGAACATTCGGATGCCATCGAGAAGTTGCATGCGCTGTCACAGGCATATCACAAGCTGGCCAGCCATCACTACGGTCTCAATCCGGAAATGTCCTCCGTCATGCTCTTGACCCTCTTCGAGTTGTGGAATGCAATTGACACGATGGCGGTGCAGCTGTGCCCACTGCTGGCTGACTTCGATCCGCAGATTCCAGCCGCAGAGCTTCAGAGCTTACTGCTTCCCTTCGCCGAGCAAATGCGGAGGCTGGGCAGAGTCGAAAGCTCCCTGAGATCTCGAAGCGCGGCAGCTTCCAAGGCCTCGAGTCTCCTCTTCGATATGACAGACCGAGGATTTGCCAACGTATTCTTCGCACAGTCGAGCTCTCATCGTGCACTTCTGGAGGAGATCCAGGTTGAGGCTGCGGCTGCGCGACGAAGAAAGCTCGTCCAGTTCAGGGAGACCGTTGCCGAGTATCGTCGCCTCGATGCTCTCCACTCCCAGGCCACTTGCGACTACATCACGAGAGTTTTGGACGATTGGTGCGATCCACCGGAGATCGAGCGGTCGCACAGCCGCAATTGCGTGAAGTGTTCGTATGCCTCGAGGCGCGACAAGCTCGCAATCCATGTTCACGAATGGCCATTGCCGTCCCTGATGTCGCACGCTCGCGCCGTAGTCTTTGAGCTCGCGCTCCCGTCTTGGTACGGTCATTGGCGCGATGCCCGATCATTCTTGTTGCAAAGTGTGCTCCGAGGTGAACGCTCGCCGCTCCGACCCCACACCAGCTATCGCCTGGGGGTCAATGATCCACACCTGACGCAACGGCACTTTCGTTCGTTAAAGCACCATCGGATTGGCCTGCTTTCTCAGACCAAGCCTTGCCTGAACACGCATTACGGTAGCAAGAAGATTGCCACTCTGGAAGAGACTGACGTGTGCCAACCTAACGGTCTGCACTATGGCTACTACGACGCAATCAGTGATACCGATATGGGAGATCTCGTCTTCACGAACCACGTTGCTCGCAGCTGCACGTATCGCCTCTCCCGTGAGGCGCTGCGCCAATTCATCTTCCGTCCGCCTTCCCGACCGGATGGACCGAGGCCGAACACCGCGATTGCTGCGCAAGATCAGTGCCCAGGAGATATGACTTTGGAAGAGTACAAGGAGCTTGCGACCTTACCTCTGGGCCGTCATCTGCAGTGGGCCAATATCCTGGCTCAGCTCGCGATGACCCAGGTCGATTTCAAGAAGCTGGATACCATCTTGATATTTCTGCAATGCATATACCAGGCCGGCCCCCCGGGTGACACGGACTCCTACCGCGAGTCACACACCTTTATGGCCAAGGTTGCGAATGTGTCCTCCCTACTCGAAGCAGCCACGACAGCATTACTCAGAGTCAAAGCCAACTGGGAATCCGCGCACGCGATCGAACTCTTCGTCGCGCTTGTCGCGCGCATGCTCTCGTTGAGCCCCACCACTTCCAGCCAGACCTCCTGTTTCGTCTTCTTGGACCTTGCTCGCGACACGACCATGAAATGGATACGAGTGCTCCGTGACAAAGCGTGTGCAGCACAGACACACGACGACCGGATGGTTTTCACTAACAAGAGTGTGGAGATTGCGCTGATATGCGCATCGACATTCGATGTGGACGATTACCATGTTGCTGGCGTGCTCGAGCGCCATGGATCAGTCCTCTTACAATGTTCCATTCTAATCCAGGAAGCTGAATGTGGTCTGACGGGAGAAGCGTCTCACGAGATGATCTCCATGCTTAAGCTGCATTACCAACGACTTCTCCACCGCGTCTATGAGGTATTCACCCAGGACACCATGGGTGGCGTCCTAGATCACGCGGTCCTCCAGTCTTGGTCAGGCTATCTCCCGAGCGACTTCGGCTGGCGGGTCGCATCCGCAGCAGTCCGCCACTGGGTGACTACCATCACGGCCGAAGCATATGGCAGTATTGGAATGCATGTGCATCTCAATCTGCTCACGGGCGAGCTGTTGGTGGATGGACTGCCCTTGAACCAGCCACCAAAGGGGTACCGGGAGACAGCCTTGTATAGGTGCCTCTTCGATCGCGCTTCCGTGGAGGTCATGCCGTGCACCTCGCCAGGATTTGAGTTCTCGACGAAACAGACGTTTGGACACGGCTACTCACTCCGTATTGGGTTGTCCTCTGATGAACTCGTGGTGAGAGCGTCGCGCAACGGCTTGGTCTACGATACCATACCCGCACACACGATCACCGAATACGCATCGCACTTCGTGGATGATCACGTGCATTGGTATGATCACCAAACAGGGACTATCCAATTTCGGCCAAAGTCGGATCCGTGGAATGCCGCTTCGCCTGATGGCTGGATGCTTTCGAAGGAGGGCGGGGGACAGCGGTGGCAGCTTTCCCGAGCTGGCGCTCTCGTCGCGGGAGTCAATTCGCCGACCTCACGGAGCATCGGTCACATATTGGAGCCGCTGGCTCATCCTGCTCGCATCCATAACGTGGTTAGGACGGAAGGCACCTTGCACGTGGACATCCCCATGCTTCGTCTCAGCTTCTTCTTGCGCGAAGGTACTTCCCACCTAGAATCCAGCGAATTCCGAGCTATGGCTGTGGACAGCAACCAGTCTGTCGGTAGCCTAGTGGGACTCAAGAACAAGCTCCTCCTCAAGTCCACACAAGAATGTGGACCGAACGCAATGCGCCGCAGCGTTCTGATCCCCGAGTCGGCGCTCATTTCATATGCTCGCGAGTCCGGCCATGTTGCAGTCAATATGACGACCGATTCCATCTTCGCTGTGCACGAGCTCGAGATAGATCCGCTCCTGGGCCGGCTCGTGGACAATGGCAGCTGTAAGCTATATGTGGCATACCTTCATGCCCTCACGTCGTTTTGCCTCGCCGATCCCTTGACGAGAAGAACTGGCACGGAACAGGCCCTCAGCCTCCTCAAGAGTGCTGCCGTGAGATCTTTCGATCATCTGTCACAGACTCAAGTGGATACGCTCTGTCGCCTGGCAGGCCTGACCCCTAGCCGCTCATACTACCCGCGCCATGAGCGAGTCATGCAGAGTGTGGATTGGGACGGCCAGCTGAGTTTCTTGTCCCAACATGGACATTTTCTGTTCGCCGCGAGAGAAATACTGGATCAAGCCACGAAGGCCAGCATCTTCTGGTCGGACCAGGAGCCGAGGCCGACGTGGCCTAAATTCGACAAAACAGAGGACAATCTTGTGGTCCGGGATAATCTTCGGTGCTCTACATTTCGAGTTTCTCAATTCGGTGCAGAGGATCACACCGCGGAGCACGATCTGGAATACAGTTCCCGAGACCACGATCCAAATTCGAAGCGTGCCGCAAGTGCGACGGCCATGTCGACCTTCATGTCTCGAAGTGGCACTGAATTGTGCGATGCGCTGAACCCCGGATGTCTATACAACGAGCTCGTGCTGACTGACTGCATCAATGGGCCCAGCTCGCTCCAGAAACCACAGAACCTGACGAGGTATTCTGGCGCGCTGCTGTCGGACGGACCCGATGGCGTGAGGCAAAATCTGCCCGTGTTGCACCGCTGGCTCACAAGCGCAGATGCGCAGAATCACAAGTTCTCCATTGTACTGTGGCTATGTACACTGGCATCGGCCGGCAAGCTGAATCCCTGTGTGTTGCAGGTGCTTGGTGCATTCTTCAAAGCACCGACATTAGCGCAGGTGAAGGCACCGGAGGCACTCTCTTTTCGACCGAAAATGGGCGGGCAATGCTCGTATCCTGCTCTGCGCAAGATTATAGTACCTTATCGGAAGCCGCTCTCGACATGTCCAGAAAATTCTCTGAGGAGATCGAAGAATGAGAAGCTTCACGTGTACCAGAGAAGACGTGACATGGCCTGGCAGAGTGCTAGCGACTCTGTTCTCGACAGCTTCCTACGATCGCTCATGGGCCAATGGCCTTGCGAGCACCCCGTAACCCCCGACGTCTCTGCGTCATCGAAATACGTCGACGTCGCGGGCGCCATGAGAGCTGTCCGGGATACATTTCAGAAGTGGCACGACAACAAGTGTCTATTCCAATATCTTGATGACGTGGAGCGGATCAGCCGTGTCCTTGGTGTGCGGAAAGTGGAGGTCCAGAGCTCTACGGGCAACGTGAGCCAAGCGGAGATCACGGCGATCCCTCGCGGCTACGTGAGCGAGCAGGACTTGTTCGCAGCGGGGCCTGATCCCTTGCTGCGAGGTGCTCATCGACCAAAGCTTGCTCACATGACTAGAGTGGCATGTCCTGCGCGACCACACCCGCGTCTGAGCTGTCTCCTCGAATCAGTCCGGAGCAGACTTTCTACCTCAAAATTTGCCAAAGCATATTGCGCGGACCTCGAAGAAAGCATGGAAGCATTGCTGGAGCGCGAGACTTGGCAAATCGACAGCAGTCCTCACCTCAAGGAGCTCATCGCTCACTTCAGGCGTTGCCAGGTATATTCCGACCAGATCTACGGCCAATTATCTGCGGTTGTCAATGCTCGAGGAGATGCTTCGTGCCAGATTCATCTGCCGCGAGTGTCGCCGATATTATTTCTGCAGCAGTTGTCGCACCGTCGCTGGAAGCATGTCAGTGCGCAATGGAAGGCATGTATCGTCCAATACGGCATCGCCTTGACTACGTTGCAGCAGGCCAGGCGACTGCTGACACTCTCAGATCCCGCCGCGAGAGACGATCTCGTTGCGGAGCTGCAAAACTCCGGTCACCGCAATTGGGATCCCACGGAATACCCTGAATCTCTCCTCATCGAGGTGGAGAGTGGGATCCTCATTCGCGAAGTCCAGGAGCAGATCGCAGGGCACATACGCAGCCCGCCACACGGCGAGAACGCGGTCATGCAGCTGAACATGGGCGAGGGCAAGTCCACCGTCATCGTCCCTATCACAGCCTCTGCTCTTGCAGACACGCGGCTGGTGCGTGTCATCGTCGCCAAATCCCAGTCGAAGCAGATGGCACAGATGCTGATTTCCAAGCTCGGTGGTCTTGTCGATCGGAGAGTCTATTATCTGCCCATTTCACGGTCTCTGAGGCTGGGCTTGCACGGGACCCAGACGGTCGGCGACATGATCCGCGAGTGCAAGCGCACGGGTGGCATCCTGCTTGTCCAGCCTGAGCACATTCTGTCGATGCAGCTTATGGCTCTGGAATGCTTCATCTCGGATAAGCACGCAATCGGCGCACAACTCTTGAGCGAAGACGTGCAAGACATCATGAGCTCAGCACACGACATTGTGGACGAGGCAGATGAGAACTTTGATGTGCGCTTTGAGCTGATCTACACGATGGGGACCCAGAGCACTATCGAGCTGAGCCCAGATCGCTGGCTCCTGATCCAGGAGGTGCTCGAGATTCTGAGGCTCGTAGCTCCTGGTGTGTCCCGCGAAGCGCCAGCCTCGTTGGAATGTCACGCGCGAGGCATATGCGGAACCTTCCCCAGAACTCGCATTCTTCGCCAGGACGCGGAGACCAAGCTTCTGCATCGTCTTGCGCGATGTATCTGCGATCGAGGTCTGTCACGCCTTCGGATCGCGCGTCAGCCCGCAGCGATCCGCATCGCTATCTACAACTACATCACCAAGCCAGATCTCGACCAATGGGAGATCGCCAGTGTAGAGCGGTCGATCTTCTGGACGGAGTCTACCGCCTCGCCGCTTCTTCTGCTTCGCGGCCTGGTAGCTGGTGGAGTCCTGGCCTTCGTGTTTGGGTCGAAGCGATATCGGGTCAACTATGGCTTGACGACTGTTCCCCGGACGCCCCCCTCTCAGCTAGCGGTACCGTATCGCGCCAAGGACTTCCCGTCCTCGCGCTCCGAATTCTCGCATCCGGATGTGGTCATCGCTTTGACTTGTTTGAGCTATTACTACGGTGGACTCTCGGACGACGACCTCTTCACCTCCATAGGTCATGTTATCGGCTCGGATCAGGCCGATCTCGAGTACCAGGCGTTCGTCCAGCACTCGCACGAACTGCCTGCTGCCTTTCATGACCTGCGCGGTATCAATCTGAAGGATCGGCCACAATGCATCCGAGAGCTCTTTCCTGCGCTCCGATTCGCGAAGAATGTCATTGATTACTTCCTCGCGCACATAGTGTTTCCCAAGGAGATGAAGGAGTTCCCACTCAAGCTCTCCGCATCGGGCTGGGATCTGGGCAAATCGAAGGTGCGCGGTGGAGGCGCCGTCACAGGTTTCTCTGGCACCAATGACTCTCGTCGCCTCCTGCCGCTGGATGTTCGCGAACTCGACCTGCCGGAGCAGAAGCATACGAACGCACTTGTGCTTGGGTACATCCTACAGCCCGAGAATGATGTTGTCTTACTCGACCTGAGCAATGACTCGGCGCTTTCTGAGGCCGAGCGCATGCTGACCCTGGCCACTACTCTAGAGCCCGCAGTCGAAGTCATCCTCGATTGCGGGGCTGCCGTCCTGGAGTTGGGAAATCTCGAAGTGGCAAAGACGTGGCTCCAGATGCACTCTGGTGCAAAGAGCGCTGTGGTGTTCGTCAATGATCGTGACGAGATTTGCATTGTCGACCGCACTTCGAGAGTGGAATTGCTCAGAACCTCTACCTATGCCGGTCGATTGGATTCGTGCTTGGTGTTCTTGGACGAAGCACATACCCGAGGCATCGATCTCAAGTTGCCTCCGCATTACAGAGCTCTCGTCACACTTGGGGCGGGCGTGACCAAGGATCGCCTTGTGCAAGCATGTATGCGATTGCGAAAGCTAGGGAAAGGTCAATCCGTGGTATTTTGCGTCTCGTCCGAAATACAAGCCAAAATTCTGTCGGTGACTGGCAAATCGGAGCCCTCATCGATCAACATCGCAGATGTACTCCTGTGGTCAATTTCGGAGACGCACAGCGACGTGCGCCGCAGCATGCCGCTTTGGCAAGTCCAAGGGCAGCGGTTTTATCGACAGCAGGCCCTGTGGGAGGAGTGTGGAGGACACATGACGGTTGCTACGGCCAAGAAATTCCAAGAGCAGGAGTGTCAAACGATTGAGCATCGATATCATCCGCTCCAGGTGGACGAAACGCCATCGCACTCGTGTGATATATCTGAAGCCCACCTCCGACGCATCTCCGCTCGGTGCCAAGAATTCGACGACTTGGAGTTCACTGCCAGCACTCTACAAGAAGAACAGGAACGCGAACTGTCACCTGAGATTGAACAGGAGCGTCACGTGCAGCGCCCACCGGCGGCCTCACCTGCCCGCCATCAGCTCCGGGACGATGTCATTCGCTTTGCGAAGCATGGAATCTACGATCCGCAGTCCAAAGCGTACATGGCTGCGTTTGCAGCGTTCCAAGGATCGAGCGCAGCAGAGATGTTCTCACCTGCTCTGCTCAAATGCAAGCTTCTCGTCAGCGCCGACTTCTACGAGACATTGGACATGTCTTCCCACAGCCACATTTCCGACAGTTATCAGCGGCCAGTGCAGTGGATGCTGTCCAACCGTGTGAACGGAAGCAGTGAAGCGGATTACATGCTCGTGATTAGTCCCTTCGAGGCGAACCAATTATACCCAGAGATGAAGCACTCCCGAGGAGCGACCCTGCACATGTACAAGCCCAAGTGTAACTCCGGATATGCAACACTCGATCATCTGCTGCTCCATACTGTCCCTGCACGGGACGTGCCAGATATACCGCGCTCACTTGCGGTCGCGGTCAACTTGTTCGCGGGCCAATTGTACATCAGCTCTCGCGAGGACTATCTGGAAATTTGCGGTTTCCTCGGGCTCTCGGCGATAGTTGTTACGCAGGAAATGACAGACAGGGGCTGGCGGCTAGATGCCACAGGATTCATTTTGAGCGATGACGCCGGCCGAAGCGGATGCGGGTATCCCAAGAGTCCGGTGAGTTTCTTCAAAGGAATGATCTCGAAGGTGAGAAGGAATGGCGAGGCCATCGACAAGACACACATTGGGCAATTGCTCGACGGCAGATTGTTTAGCGAACAGGATTTCGATGGGTGACGTCCGATCTGTAGCTCCTAGCAACGGATGACAAGGACCAAAATCGATGAGATATAGTTTCTAATGCCTCTCGTCAACCATAATGGTCATTGGGTTGAGATCATTGTGCGCCAGGCCAAACCCGTGGAGATGCTCGAGCGCAGACTCAATGTGTTCCACAAAGTTGTCACTCTCGAGATTGCGAATCATGCTCCTGTCAAGCCGCTGTTTTAGTGTCGTATCGTAACGATCCAGAACAAGTTCGACCATTCGTCCTCGCTTGGCAAGGCACCCGTGATACCGTATGATGTTAGGGTGTGTCTTGCGTAGCAGAAGCTCCATTGTTTCCGCTTCCTGTAGGATGAGCTTGGGCAACAGATTAGTACCAATGAAACCAAGATTCAAGCTCGGTCTTTTCAGGAAGAGTCTGTCATCGAAAGGCACCGGCAACGTCGTGATTGAGGACGCTGATGATTGCGGACAGACATCGTCGTCTGGCAGGGGCCGGAGGCATTTTTTGATCTCTTCTACAGTCAAGGTGGATTTCTTCGACGTTGACTGTCCAAAATATGGCGCGTGTTCAGACGTGAAGAAACCGAAGGATGAATACAGGAATATTGGATTGCCTTCATGATCATCTTCCTCAGCAAATGCATTATAGGAGGGAAAAGATCTCGGAAGGAGGTTATCGATGGTTCTCGATCGTTCATCGTCTTCTTCCAGCTACGATGTTCAACGACTGGGCAGCAGATTCTTCGGCCGCAGCCTCGGCGGAAAAGCAGGAAAGCTGAACAGAGCAGGAAAAAGGTTGCCGTTGGCGAAGACGAAGTCGAGACATGCAGGCGTTGGCGAATCGCAGTCGGAACTGCCGCAGAGGACCGGGGCAACGACTTTTGACATGGAGTCAGCCTATCCAATCGGACTTCTTTGCGGCCAAGGCACGAACATCGCCGAAGTTGCAGGGTGCTGGAGCAGCCAGGCGGGAAAATACCGTGGCAGGCGCCGGTGGCATGCATGTATCAACAATATCCGATCCAAAAATAGATAAGTGGGCAACATTGCTCGAAAGCAGCACCTTAGAAGACGCCATCCGTGGGACATTCTCCAGCCGTTATGTACGAAGCTCAGCCTGTTGGGACATGGTTTTTCTTTGGAAATCACGTACGGTATTCGTATAATTTGAATCTGAAGAACAAAGATGTCGTCTGCCAATCTTGAGTACGTCCTGCACCCACCTGGTGTTGACATAATGACTAAGCTTTGGACGCAGCGTCTTCTGCGGAGGGACATTCAGCTTCGATGTTCACGGCCATCGCTTTACTTTGCACAAGCGACTAGTGCAGAGGTATTCTGAGCCTCTCATGGCGATGATGCACAATGGAATGGAAGAGACCCAGCACGGCTTCGCCACATTGCAGGACACAGAGGAACTCACTTTTGCACGATTTAGTGAATTCATCTACTCCGGAAGTTACAGTCCAGCGAACTCCCTTCCCACAAGTAATGGCGTCTCGCCTCGGACATCCACACCTGAAAACATCCGCTATTGGACAGAGTTCACGCCGTCGCCAATGCCACAGGCAAAACCGCTGGTATTGACCAGACCTAGGCTGCGAGAACTACAATTCGATCTCCCCGCTCAATTGCCATTGCCTACAGATTCAACCGTCAGCAGTGGAGCCCTTGCGCTCGAGGAAGTCCTACCAATCCTGAATAGTCATGTGGATGTGTACGTGTTCGCCGACACATACAACGTCCATGAATTGAGGATCCACGCTGCCCAAAGATTTTGCGAAATACTTCGTCGGCTCGTCTTCCCTCTTCATCCCATCACTAGGATGGTAGAGCTAATATCTCATATTTACGATCATACACCAACTAGTCACGAAAACGTTGACATCTTGCGAGAAGTGGTAGCGCATTTTGCTGCAGATAACATCGAGGATCTGACAGGGTCTGCGGAGTTTTGCGATTTGGTTGAGCAAGGAGGCGAATTTGTGAAGGATCTTGTTCAGAAAATCTCGGACAGGTTCAAAGTTTTGCCCCGTTGAAGCGTTGTGATAGGCACCGACTTGATAAAATGGAACGGACTGCGTCATAAATGCTCTACAAATCAAGGTCGTATCCCTCACCTCGAACCTCTGCAATGGCGCGGAAAATCAAGTACATAACCGCCGTTTCCCGCATCTTTGGACGCGCTTGATAAGCTGACTTACAAACTATAAGCGTGAACAGATAGTCTCTAGCGCCGAAGCGAAGACTCTTATACGACGGCTTTCACGACTAACAAGTGCTGGATGCTCTGCCTCGCTAGCATAAGCAATAGAAATGGCCGTCATTGTATGCAGGCGTTTAATATTTGGAGGGGTTCCAATTTTCGTGGTAATTTCACGCTGGCTCTGTGTTGAGACTTTCTGTATGTGGTAAGGCTCGCGTATACTACTGGCTAGTATACTGCTCGCTACCGCTGCTGCAAAGCTCACCGGGGCACTGTTGTAGTTCTGTAGTCCTTTGTTCTTGATGTCTCTCATAAATGCGACTCCTAATTTGCTGACTGACCTCTATCGCCCATATTGCCGCTCCCTTCGTCTCTTCTCCGACTACTGCCATCGTCCCAATCTGCGTGTTCGTGTTCTATATCTTTCCTCAGCGCTCTCTGAACGCGATGAATTAGAATTGAGGAACCGAAAAATGGGAGAAGCTTAAGTCTGTAGGGCATCGGTACGGAGAAACTATATGGAGAGAAGAGCCAGTCGTCCGCGGGTTCCTGGAAGACAATAACATTTAATTCTTGCGCGTTTCCGTCATACGGAAATCGAACTCGCCGAGGGTTAGGAGGATACCGTATAGACACGTCCACGGCGAAACGAACAGACGCACTTCAGAAACGGAATCAATGATCATGTTAGGCACGGAAGTGGAGACTATCAAGGTAGCGTGCAGGACCGAGGGCGAGTTGACCCATGAGATATATTGGTGCGGAAGAAGGTGGTTACCTGTTTGCCTCAGGAAGACTTCTCGCTTGTATCATAAAAAGAGCGCGTAATAAGGTTGAAAACATTCAGACACCAGACTGCAAGATTGCCAACCCGCAACCCCACCCCTAATAAAACCCAAACAGGTACCGTATCGTCTTGCAAATGCGATCCTTCACAATCTGTTACGACTATCTGAAAGGCCTGTACGTGTCGGTCAAGGCATAATTTGCTTCTACAAGATGCCGCGCGCGACGGAAAGGAACTATAACATTGCGGTCACGATTAGACAGCGCCTAGAGATAGCCCAATTGGTGCTTAATATGCTCGCGGTGAGCGCTAGTAACGCTAGAGGGAATCTCTCTAAGGACTGCATCGATCTGCTAGGGCATCCTACCGAAGGAACTATAGTAATTATCTAAGTCGACGTATTTATTATAGTAAGTTTAGTATCGATCTATCGAGTCGTACGGATACGAGTGTATCTTAATTCTTTTAAGAGCGGAGGTAAGCTTAATAATACTAAGCGAGATATCGATATTCGTTAAGCGCGAAGGCTAGAGCCCTAGCTATAAGAGTTATAGTATAAGCGAGCTAAAGGATAACGCGTCGTACTCCTTACCGTTCCTTTTCTTATAAAATATATCTCTAGCGGAAGAGCTACTTATACGATTAGTATATTTATAAGGAATTACGAGTAGCCGATCTAGTATTATAGCTCGTATATCTAAGATACTATCTAGTACGTATGTTTACGCTTAGGAGCAGATTACTCGATATACGAACTAATAAGACCTAGCGGTAGATACTATATAGATACCGTTACCTCGCCTACTACGTAATTTCCTTCGTAGTCGATTATCGTATTTAAGGTTATCCGAGCAGAAAGCTACTCGAATTCTTCCTCTATTCCGAAATCCTACGCGATCTACGAGAACTCTTCGTAGCTAGGACTTTATACTAGGTTATAAAGGTTTAAGGCCTATTATTATATCTAAGGAATAATAAGCGGCGTAGCTTAGTACTTATTAGTTAGGATAGATAAGGCTAGTAGTTACTAAAACTTAAGCTTATCTAGTATCTATCTAAAGCGTAGGTACGCGATATTAAGAAGGATCTTAAGTACTATAGTATCGTTATCCTCGAATTTAATTTACGAAGGTTTATTTCTAGCTTTACGACTAAGTATACCTTAATATCTAATTATATCCGCCTATAGTTTATACGCTAGAGCGAACGCGTAAGACGCTACGAGAAATCTCTATAGGCCGGTATATCCGTTTACGATAAGAATAAGGTCCTCTTATAGATTAAATACGACTTCCTTAGTTAAAAATAGTTTATACGCTATACTTCTACTATCGCTATAGTTTATACGAGTACGAAGAAGTAGACGATATAAAAAGACCTACTATTACGCTTTTTAGACGTACGAGGCGGCTACGTAGCTAATATTAGGTTAATTCTACTACGCCTCTACGCTCGGAGTCGGGAGTCCTATATACCGCGTAGAAGGTTCCTATACGTAGCTATAGGACACTTAATAAGATACTACTTAAGACGCTAATAACTCTTAAGACGTACCTACTATATATAGTAAACAATTACCGACTAAGTTCTATCGGAATATATACCGAGATATACGTTCGCCTAACTACGAGGAGCGTCCTAGGTATAAGCTTAATCGGCGTTAGCTATAAACGTAGCTAAGCTAATTAACTAGATAGGTTGTCGAGGCGTATTTAAATAGAGACTACGAGTTTCCCTAGTTAATACTAAGAATTCTTACGATAGTATATTTTTACTTCTAGCGTACTACTAATTACGCTATAATTAAGTATAATAGATTAAGCTGCGATAACTCGTATACGCGACCTAATGTCTATATATATATTATTAGTACGGTAGGCTTAAGATCGAATATAGTAGTACTAGTTAGCTAGAGCGTAGGTAGAAGCTTACGAGTACTCTACGGATAGGATTATAACTAGTTAGTTAGTTAATCGATTACACCTTATACGGTTAGACCTACGAAGTAAGCTTATATTATAATATTAAAGATACGGAATATATTAATATAAGATAGACTAGATTCGGCTAGCGAGGTAAATATAATATTGTTACGTAGGATACCTACTATATATAGCGTAAGAAACGGCATTTGCTCCTATTAGTATAATATAGTAGGCGCGAAGATTAGCGGACTACGTATAGCGTAGTATCTCTATAGGATTATATATCGAGGGTCCGGAATTATTTCGTACGCCTCGTTAACTATTCGTAGACGTATTTCGGTAGCGAGCTATATCTAGGGTCGCTATACCTACATAATTAGGACCTAGAAGAATTAATATAGACCGCTACTAGAGGCAAAAAAAAAGTAAAGTATATTACTAATAGTAAGGCTTACGATAATCTCGAGGTATTCGCTAGTAAGTCTAGTAAGAGTAAAGAGCTTATTGCCTTAAACTTCCTCTTTCCTACCTACGTTAGTTTCTAGTATAGAGTAGGGAAGGCGCTATAATATCTATCTCGAGTACGTAAACTAGATATATATAAACGGGAGTTACGGACTTCTTACTACTTAGCTCGCTTTCTACGACCTTCGAGGGAGACGATCGCTACCTCTTATAATTATATAATAGCTCGGTTCTGCGCCCTATACTATTAGCCGGTATTTCTCTAAATCCGAGCAATAGAGTAGAACATAGCGAGCCGCTAAGCTTTAGCTATTCTCCTTTATAGATAGTAGCGATAACTATCTATTTCGATAAAGTAGTAGTCTAGCCGATAAACTACTCTCTTATAAGGACTATTCGCTTACTTACGTCTTACCTTCTATAATACTAATAATAGAGACTCTAGATATTGTCCGTAGATCCGGCAGACACGCGATTGCCTACTATATCTTTCGCGGATATAAGAGGTAGAAATCGCGGTATATAGCTCGTATATAATTAGACTCTATTTCTATCTCGACCGTAGCTATCGAGACTATAGCTATAAATATAATATAATTTCGATAGAACGTAGTACGAGCGTCTCGGATAATAGAGAAGTATCTATATATCTTAACTCTTAGAAGTTAGTCTACGTAAACTTCGTAGGTTATATTAGCTTAAAATATATTATAGATGTTCTGCCTCGTTTATAGCTATAGTAGCAAAGTTAACTTAATCGCGAGTAAGCCTATTTAAGTACTACGAGCTCGGCCTTAAGAAAAAGCCGATACTAGTATAGTTATCGGTATTCGTCGTCGATCTTTCTCTTATAACTATATATAGTTGCCTTCTAGTAAAGACGTTATTATAAAGGAATTTAGATAGTAGCTATACGAAATAAGATACGGCTATCGGTATTCCTTTAGTACTCTAGGCTCGGTCGTTAGTATTACTCTAATAAAGCAAAGTATAGATATTAGTATTAGTTTAATAAAGTATAATATAATTACTAGTNATATATATATAAGCAGATTTACTTTAGTATATACTAACTAATATACCTCCTAGAAACGAGAAATATAGCGTAACGCTTTCTCTAAATCTTAAGAAGTCGATTATATAGTAAAGAGAGCTAGTTATAGCTAATAGTATTATACTTATTACTAGGCTACGAATATTACTTAGCTCGCTCTCTAGAGAGTCTATACGACCTCTACGTACGAGTTAATATTAGATTTCTATTCTAACTTACTTTTATATAATACTCGTAATCTACTCGATTTTTAGTATTTTAGCTACTTATTTATCGAGTTACTTTAGCTACTCTTCTACCTATATCGTTAGTAGAAACTCTATATAGCTCTAATATATAATTATCTATTTCTTTAAATAAAGCTTTAATATTTCTTCTATACTTATCTCTAGGCCTACTAAAGATATCTAGAAGCTTTTTTCTTATTAATAACTATCTACTCTATACCTCTTTCGATAAAAGCTATACTATCCTTTATAATTTAACCTACGCTATAGTTTCTAAAGAGTAAGGCCTAGTAGTAATTAATAGAGCTCTAAAGAAAGATCTAAAATCTTTCTTAACTAAATAGAAGTAGTCGTTATCTTCTTTTATTATATTAAGATCGTAGTCGTAATTACTCTAGATAACCTTATAGTATAC